GGACTGTTAATTGTTGTTCATACCCTAAGTCACTTCCATCATTACCTATATGAACAAAAGTTCACACACTGGAAAACATTATGCTGCATTAAAGTGGCTGGTGAATTTTTGTAATCCAAAAAAAAAAAAAGAGATATTTCACAACTTGGAAAGGACTGTTAATTGTTGTTCATACCCTAAGTCACTTCCATCATTACCTATATGAACAAAAGTTCACACACTGGAAAACATTATGCTGCATTAAAGTGGCTGGGGAATTTTTGTAATCCAAAAAAAAAGGAGATATTTCACAACTTGGAAAGAACTGTTAATTGTTGTTCATACCCTAAGTCACTTCCATCATTACCTATATGAACAAAAGTTCACACACTGGAAAACATTATGCTGCATTAAAGTGGCTGGTGAATTTTTGTAATCCAAAAAAAAAAAAGATGGCTCCAGAAACTTGAGGAGTATAACTAGCATCGTTCATTGCCCTAGACAAAACCATCGAAATGCCGAAATATTCTGAAAACCTCGTGTATTGAAGAATGTGAAAAGAAGGAAGCACGAGATAGCAAAGACTACCGCCCTAAAGTACAACAGGTACAATCCAAAATGTGACATCCACAAGTGGTTATGAAAAGCTAATGTGGCCCAACACTCAACTGATATGAAATCATAGCAAACGGTCGTCCCTGTAGCCCAAATACAACATACTTGGTACAGTGGGATTCATTATTAAAAGAGAACTTGTTATGTTAAAAGTGGGAAGACACCAGAAGACAAAAACAATTACTACAATTGGTACTTCCACAATATCTACATTCCCCATTATCTCCACAACCATCAAACAGTTGGACATTTTAGGTGTTAAGAGTACACTGGAGAGAGTAATAAAACACTTCCATTGGGTTGGGTGCCAGGTAGTAAAGAATTGATGTAAATCCTGTGAGAATAAAGATCCACGAAAAAACAGATCTTGATGAAGAATTCGTGTTCATTACACAGTCCACTTTTTTATCTTTTTTTTTATTCTTATGAAGAAGAGACCACTTTTCATATTCGATACATAATCTACTTTTTACCTTTTGTAAACATGATGACGAAAAGACCACTCGTCAAAAGCGGCCTAGCTTTTGAATAACCAGCGATGGTTTTTATTGTCTTGCAATGTTTACATGTTCTACAGTAATTCCTGTATGCTGAATCCGAACTTGATATCCATTTCTCTTTATCTGGCCAGGTGGTTAGGGCGCTCGACTCGCAATCTGAGGGTCGCGAGTTCGAATCCCTGTCCCACCAAGCATGCTCGCCCTTTCAACCGTAGGGGCGTTATAATGTGATGGTCAATCCCACTATTCGTTGGTAAAATAGCAGCCAAAGAGTTGACGGTGGGTGGTGATGACTAGCTACCTTCCCTCTAGTCTTACACTGCTAAATTAGGGACGGCTAGCGCAGATAGCCCTCGTGTAGCTTTGTGCGAAATTCAAAACAAACAAACAATTCTCTTTATCATGTACAGAGTTTTCGGAAAACGTCATATGTACTTTTACATAAGTGAATCATTCTCATTGAAATCGGGTCACATTTTGTTATGCCTAAAATGATGACAACCACTGGCTACATATTTCTCTAGACCAATCGCGACGTGACAGTCTTATCGATCGTTCTAGAACCCACAAGAAACACACCGCTAGTATATAAACGGTTAACAAGCCACATCACGTGTCATTTCTGGATAGTATTTGTTTGTGCGTCCACTTTGACATTATATTTTTCTTTTCAATATTACTTAATCGTCGCTATGGCAACAAGAGGTTGTGTAAATGACCCAAATATATTCTGTTATATTTGTGGTAAATATGTTGTAAAGCAACAAAGGCAAAACATTGCAGAATTCGTCAAAAACTTGGGGACCAAGACAAACCAAGGGCTCCGCACAAAGTTTGCACCGTTTGTGTCAAAGAGTTGAGACGATGGACTAAAGGTAAGAAAAAGTCTTTGCCTTTTGGAATTCCAATGGTCTGGCGTGAGTCTAGAAACCACGGAGATGACTGCTATTTTTGCACATGTAACGTGCAAGGCTACAACACTTGAATAAGAAGGAAATTTCTTATCAGAACCTTCAATGTACTATAAGACTTGTTGCTCATCAACCTGATGTACTGTACCTACTCCACCGGAAACTCTTGATACAGTTTCATCTGATTCTGAAT